TTCTCTGGAGCGTCAGAGGCTGAGGGGTGACCTTATAGAAGTTTATAAAATTGAGGGTCACGGATAGGGTGAATAGCCAAGATCTTTTCCCCAGGGTAGAGGAGTCTAAAACTAGAGGACATAGGTTTAAGGCGAGAGGGAAAAGATTAAAAGGGGCCTAGGCGGCAACTTTTTCACGCAGAGGGTGGTGTGTGTATGGAATGAGCTGCCAGAGGAAATGCTGGAGGCTGGTACAATTACAACATTTAAAAGGCATCTGGATGGGTACATGAATAGGAAGGGGGTTTACATGGATATGGGTCAAATGCTGGCAAATGGGACTAGATTATTTTAGGATATCTGGTCAATGCAGTTGAATTGGATCGAAGGGTCTGTTTCTCTTACCACACATACAGAGCTGCAACTCCCCCACAGGTAAACATCTGCTAAAACACTCACCTTCCAGGCCTGAAGCATGATTCTGTTTGTTTGCCTCCTTCCTTAATTGAGATATACTTCAGAGAAAAGTGGCTCGACATTAGCAATACAATTTATTCGGTCACACCTTGTCAAGACAATCCCTTCAAATAAGTGACATTTTTCTCCAGCTCCAGGCTGTATCCTCAAATCAAACAAAGATCCATCAGCCTGCACCAGTGCCAGCCATTTGCAAGTCCTGATAAGGAATTCTTTTGTCCATTATTTCACAATCGTGCTATCTATTCTGCTAATGTAAACACCAGAATATCGCCCCAATAAAATTGTTGCACGAGGGAGGCTGTTTTCTTTAAACTGTCAAAGCATTGCCTATTCTTCTGTTTTGTTTGTTTTTCTCACTTGCTGATTATGATGCTAAGTCTGCTACTGTTAGAACCGAGCTGCAAGCATTTTTCATGCCTCGTTGGACATAGATTCCAAAAAGGGTCAGACCTGTCCATTAAGAAGACCTATTTAAGAAGGCTATTTTAACTGAGGGCTGTGTGACAATCTGTAAACACTGTGCAATGTAACTCATGAACCTTCATTCTGTGATCTATAAGTTCCCAACTCAAAGTGTGCTTCTGTGCACGCACGAGTGAGAAATCTCTGACAACAGCAGTGGCTACTCCACACACGTCTAGATTCTCTCTTGCAGAATGAAAACAACTGCTTGTTGCAAATTTTTTGTCCCTTTTCCCTGGTCTGCTTAGAAAGTTACTGAATGGCTGAGTTTTAATTTCAATTTAGGCTCTCGAGGGTTAACTGCCTGTTAGATACCCATGTCCAGTTCCTCTTTCCAACCATTTTGCGCTGCTGCCGCAGTTAAATTTCATTCCAGGACTTTATGGCATGGGGGACATTAATGCGTCATTGGTCAGGATTTTTTAAGTTCTTGGATGTGATGTTGCTTTTGCTGCCAAGGTCAGCATTTGTAACCCATCCTTAATTGCCCTTAAACTCATTGGCTGATTTCAGAGGACAGTTCAGAGTCAATCAGATTGCTGTGGGTCTGGAGTCACATGTAGGCCAGACCAGGTAAGGGTGGCAGATTTCCTTCCTTAAAATACATATGTAAACCAGGTGGGTTTTTATGACAATCGATACACAGTCACCACTAGGCTGATTGTTAATTGAAAATTTAATTGAAAAAATTGAAACTGCACCACCTGCCATGATGAGATTTGAACCCATACCCTCAAAACATTAACCTGGGCTCTGGATTACCAATCTACTGCCTCCCCTAAATTGTATTAACTGGTGCAGCGAGGATCACTAGCTGATCTCTGACTGATTCTTGTGTCAGGGGGTGAGTCTGTGCACCACCCTGCCAACCCATACATCCTCACAGGAAATGTCATTTTTCCCATCATTTTAGTTTCTATTCTCTTTCCGACTGGTCCTTGGATGGAGGGATCATTGGGAAAGCAACAATCATTATCCATCCTGTGTTTCCCCAGGAGGACTAAGAATGAACCATTTGTTGTGATACAGGTTGATTGGGTGAGGGGGGGCAGACTTCTTTCCCGAAGGATATGAGTGAAACATTTTGGGTTTTTAAGCGCAATTTTGGCACTTGCTTAGTCACTTCCTGGCTCACAAACAGCCATATGTCAGAATGTTCTCAGGAATGGCGTAGCACTTCAACACAGTGGAAGTGTACATTTCTTTAGTATTAATTTTTGCACTCCAAGAGTTGGCCATTTTCCTGTTGGTTCTCTGACTCAGTTGTATCCTTGCTTTAACTCATGTCTGTTCAACTTGTAATGATTCACCGTTCAAACAATAATTTGAAAGAAGAGGATTCTCGTTTATTCTTGCGATCTTCCTCTTTAGCCTTCTCTTCGTACCTATGTCATGTGGGACTCGAACGCTCGCCTGCAGAGTATGACACTCTGTTACCAACCTGCATCTATCTTTGATCACTACAGTTCCCACCTTGGTTTATTCTTCATTCTTCTTGAGTGCATCCTTGGCTTTTATTGATCAAGTCAGCGCTAAGCAGGAGGTCTGAGATGATTTATGACACCACAGAAAATGGTCTTTCCCTCTTTCATCAGTCACTATTGTGCTTGCTTCATACTGAGTCACAGATCCTTAGCTAAGCTGCTGTGTAGATGATACAGAGGAAGGCATCGTCATTTATCTTGCCACCACTATCTAATAGCTGTTACACTTGCATCCACTTTTGTCTGTGTCTTGACTGTGGCTTTATATTCCCTTTGGGTCTTTAATGCAACAGCTCCTCACTTTTTGTTACAATTTAATGACCGCACAGTAAACCTTCACTTTCCCCACCACTCTCTTCACTCCTATAAATACCAGACACTAAGATCTGCAAAATAAACATCAGGAGTGCTCAAATGGATTTTCTATTTGTGAAGGAAGTCATGAGGTTACTCATTTTTGAAGCCGTGATATTTTACAAGTTGTAAGGAGCAGTATCTGTCTGGAGTGGTGCATAAAATTGTCCTTCTCATCAACTCCTTGCTTGGGTCTGGCCTGCACATGCACTAGGAACACCATCAGTGTTCCACCCAAGTGATGGCTATGATTAAGCATGTGGCCGGCTATTGAAATGTGGAAGGAAGCTATGCCCAGTCATCAAGATTGACTATCCAGGGAATAAATACTGACCAACGAGCAGGAACAGGATCCTTATCAAGGTGGGGAAGATTGCGGGCTAATTCTCTTATTCTCTTGTACAAGTGCTGCCTGAGGTTAGCACATCTGACACAGCTTGGGGTCTCAGCACATGATCTGACTGGAGAAATCAACTTGGGTGTTAATTTTAAATTTTGGAGAGTTCAATTTTTTTCGGCGTAAAATGGTGATTTGAATAGAAAGCCAAACTGGGCTCAAGTGCAGCACCTTCCAATTTCACATATCCAACTTTACATGATCACCAAACAATTCAAGATTTCCCTGCCTCCACCCAGTCCCAGGAGTCACTGGGAGAACACATTAAAACCAATTCACTCCTTAATTCTACTAGGTAACTTAATAAAATCAGGTGAGTTTTCAAATGATATTTTAAGAGTCTTATTCATCGTCTGATTTATTTTCATTTCGGCCTCTAGTTATCCTGGGATTGCTGTTTATATTAGAGAAGCTATCTCCCAGTCATCTTCCTCATATTTCTAATCCTTTTGAACATCACACCCCTGCCAGACATCACCCCCGGGAATGCTTGCAAACCTGCAGTTAAACACCATCATCTTTCTCCTTGTCATCTTACCAAAATCCTTCTGACTCTCCAGTCCTAATTACAGAACAGAATTATCTTTTATCCCATGGTTTTTCCACATCATTTCTCAACCTGCAACCTTTATTAGCGAAAAACCTTCACTGGTTACCTGTAACGTGTCGGTCTACCTCACCTTTTCATTACCCGTTCTAGTGAATTCCATTACCCACACCACTATCTCTGTCCCCTGCAACTCCATCCCCAACCTTCTTAGCTCCCTTTCACCTCAAGTGTGGTCAACAAATGCAACACCAAATCCCTGCAGGTCCTGCTATCAATTAGCTGCAGCTTTCTGTCTGCCTCTCATTCCCTTGTCAGGAAAGGGTTATCGACTGAGTGAAGGTAGAAACTTGGGGTTGAGGTTGAAAGAGCCGTAGCAGCAATATATCAACACTGGAAGCAACAGCAATAGCAGGAATCAATAGTGTGACAAACATGCTTCAATTCAGGGGGAGACAGAAGAAGTGGACGTACTGTAGAAACTGGCCATAACGTAGTTTTGGCAGCGATCACCAGTAAATTCATTTGGACACCTGACAAGACAAATAAAATGAGAAAGAAAGAGAGGAGAAAGAAGATAAGTAACTGTCAGGATAGAGTCACCTCAGCACCGGGCTTCATCACCTTGGTGTGGTCACCGTTTAATCCATTTTATCTGTAAATCATCATCTCTGCAAGTTTGTCAGCAAATAATTCATTTTTTAAAAACTTAGTAGGTGCATTTACAAGCCATGAAAATCCAACTCTTTCAAGTTTATCTGGGAATGTATACCTGAACCAAATTAAATGCAAAAATCCATATTTACAAATTTAGGCAAAATTTAATCCATGATTGTAGAATTGTCAAATGCCAACTTTCTCCCAATTTATCAGTGATGTTGGCCAAGTAGTTCCAAAGTAATCACTTGTGTGTATGACAGGAAATTGTCCACATTCCTCTTCCTTCAGAAAGATCCCCAACAGTTTCTACTTGAACATTTTGGGGCTGTTAAACTAAATAACTGGGGAACAAAGAAAATGGAGAGGAATTTAATAGCTGTAAATACACTGATGAGGAACTGAACATGTCCCGTACTGTTTCTCCAAAGGTAAAAGTCAAATGAAAGCAACAAAAACAGCAAACAGTACGAGATTAACCAGGGCCTAGACACATTATGAGAAGTTGCCCAAATGAAAATAAAAAATAAATATTTTAGAAGCATCTTTCTTTCCGAGCAGTGACAACACCAAGGGCTCTTTCTTTTGAGCTGCAGGGGAGAGAGAAGAATAAAACAGACATGATTATATCTTCACATACGTTCAGGTATAAAGACCCTCATGGGTACAGTCTCTGTACATCTTTCTCCGGTGAATCCAGGGTCACACCTGAGGGGTAAAAATGGGACATAAACAGAACAAGTGAACTCAAACGGTCCAGTCATGATGGTTAAAGGCAATTAAATGTGTTGGAAATCACAGGTGAACCCACATTGAGGAGAACTGCTCAGTAGATTAGGGCAGCTTGGCTGCCTGAAATCAATGGCCAACTATTACTTCTTTAGAATGGCTGCCTCTGCTTTGAAGATAATTTTTACATGATTACTTGTATGTTTACAAGCGACGGCACAAGACAAAAGCCACTTGGGTTCCCCATATGTCCACATCTCTAGTATGGGACTTAAGGGTAATAACAAGTTGATAGGAACCATTTAATACTCAAACCTTTTTGGGAAAGCTTTTAAATATAATTGGTAATGGATGATTACCTGGATTTTTTTGGTTCTAAATTTCCTTTGCAATATAACAGCCATTGGTTCAAACACAAATTCAATTTAAAACTGTTTCACAAGAAGGGCGCTGCAAAATTTGTGGAATCAAAGTGTCCCTGCTTTTTTACACATTAGTTATAAGCATACAGAAGTTATAGCTCCAATTCTATCTGTCTACACAACCACAATGGCCAATGTATCAGTTTCAACATGCAATACATTAAATGAAAAAGACATCAGCTACCAGTTTTGCCACACAAAATTGCTCAGCAAAACAATGAGTAGCAAACTGTTTCGTTCAAATCAGACACTTTGAGGTTGGAAATCTTAGCATCAATGAGCTGTCACTCTAAATACCTTCCTCCATATGTATTTAAGAAAACATCACAGTATGGAATTTAAACAATGAGGAGAATTTTAACATGTTCATTTTTTCAGTCTCTGACATCAATTGAGCTGCTTGAATGGTGAATGGGTCACAGGATGCAAAGTTTCAGCTCAAGTACAAAACTAGCTGAGGTCCTGATTGCTAATGGTGGGAAAGGGAATGTGGTCATAAAGGTCTCTTGCGGTGAAGTGATAGTGTCCCTATCTACAGGCTTGGAGGACTGGGTTTGAGTCCCAGGTCTCCGACCATCTCTGAATATGTTGGTTAGAAAATATAAAAGAAATATAAAGAATCAATTTCCTTTAGTTGGTGAATTTGAGGTGGGCTTTCAAAAAGTTCCCTGGGGCTTTTGTGGTGCTGTGGTAGTGTCCATACCTATGAGCCAGGAGGCCTGGATTAAAGTTCTATCTATCCAAGAGGATGTGTCACTACATGTCTGCACAGGTTGATTAGAAGATAAATTTTCCCCTGCAGAAGCTGAAGTGTGTTATTTTCTCCTCCAAAACCATTTTGATGTTGTCCCTTGTTTTCCCACTTTTGTTGATTTTGTATTTTTTTTTGTTGCCACACAGCCTCATATTGTTGGTTAATTTGGCGATTGGTTACGTTTGTAAAATAAAGAACCAGTTTTCCCATAAGGCGAAAGGGGTTGCTGGTCTGTCAGAGAGTATAGTGGTTTGACTTAATGCTGGACTTTAAATAAATGAATGTGGAAGACAGTGTGGCTTCTGCTTTCTCTTCTTCTGGATGAATATTTACCTGATTAAGACCAACTGTTCACTGAATGGTGTTGTTCAAATGATTGGCAGAAGGAGCAGGCATGATGTCCTGCTCAACTTTTCCATGTTTTATGTTTCACATTTGATTATTGAACATTCTTTTTAGAAGGACTCAATTGGATCATTGAGATTGTTTCCGTGCCTTTGTCTTTTGCAATAAAGCTCCTTCTGATACCAAAACCTCTTCTGGTAAAAGGCTAGAAAAATGCACTTCTGCTCCAAGCAGAATCACAATCCAAGCATAACATTTCTTGGCAATGGAGTTGTATATTTATCAGGCTCCAACTGCATTACAACATGTGTCAGTGTGACAGAAACACCCCATTCCACTACACCAATGATAAGATTATGTCATTGTGCATTTTTTTTAATCTACTGAACTGAACTGAACTGAACATTTTTCTGTTTCCCCATCTGAATCTTAAGATAGGATCACAACTTCCTGGTTCATGTAGAAGACAAGTTGAATTCATTGGAATGCACTCTCCTTCCACTATCCCAAAAACTGTGGCTGAATGTCCAGCATCTGCTTTTTTCCTTCAAATCAATGATTGCAAGCTGATCCAATGCTCATGCATATGGATTCATCAGGCTTGATGAATGCCTACTGTCACCATCAAAATGCTCTCTATTTAACTGATAATTAACGAAATATCATTTTTTTGGGTTGAATATCGTGCAGTAGGGCACTGTATTTTGGGTATGCCCGTGAATATTTAGACACCTTCTATTCCCTTTGTGGTCACAACGCGCTTTCTTAAATCAGAATGGGGAAGGGCTGAATAGAAGCCAATGTTATTACATTTTTGCCCATTATTATTGATATTAAGGCTGGTTGCTATGCTTTGCCAATATAACACATTAATTATAATTTGGTAAAGCCCAAAGCTGACTGATGGAGGTGCCTGGGCACAGTACTTCATCGGAGCTTTAGTCAAACAGTACATCTGTGCCTGAATTTTTATCAGCCACAGAGGTTAACTGCTGCTGTGCACTTTGTGTTAAGTAGGGTAACTGGACATGCATTGTCTGAGAAATTTATGAAATGGTTCACTTTTAAGATCTTTTAGTCCAATTTCTATTATTTTAAATCCATTCACTCCGCATTTCAAATATGCCACAGTAACAATGAATGTGAAGGCCCCATTGATCTCGTAACGAACCTACTCAACGTATTCCCTCTCATTCACTGTTCAGTTCCACATGATTTGTAGCATTTACTTTTAAACACCTCATTTTTTTTCACGTTCTGTTGGAATTTCCAATCTATTTCATGTTGTAACACATTGACTTCAATTAATCTTGGAGGCATCACTCGTCATGGGAATTTAATAGGAAGCATTTACAGGAATCTCTGAAATAGAACCTAATGTGGGCAGGAGGCATTCAGAAGGCTCCTAACTGCATGGTATGCAATTGAAACATCATTTTAAAACTGATCTTTTAGTCTCATTGTCTCCTGATCTTCCCTCCTTGTAAAATAAGTATGTGTGTAGCTGTACCTAGGAGTGCCCGTGTGTATATATGTGTATGTGCTTATTGCTTGCACGTGTGTCTGAATGCTTGTGCATTCTGGACCGTGTCCAGGGAGGGGGAGCGAGAGAGAGAGAGAGAGGGGGAGCGAGAGAGAGAGAGAGGGGGAGCAAGGGAGAGCGGGGGGAAGCGAGAGAGAGAGAGGGGGAGTGAGAGAGTGACCGAATGACATGGTCACATTGACCACTAGTTTTACTCAACTCTCTTTTCCGTGCATGTCTGGTGTCTGTGTATGTGAGAACGAGAGAGAGAGAGAGAGAGAGAGAACGAGAGAGAGACTATGTACGTTTAAAGTCCAGTTATGTGTAAACAGTTGGGTGCAATTATGTACATTAGTGTGAGTATGCAAGTGGACACGTATATATTTGCAAAAATGACTGTGGATAAAGGGGGCCTTTCACATTGATGCTATTTACAGCACACAGCAGAATATCCACCAAACAAAGGATAGTGGATGTTCTGCAAAGGGACAAGGAAGCACTTAATAAAGCAAGGCTCAAAACCCCCTTAAAACCAGAAAAACATCTTGTTATTGTATAGGTTAGTATTTTAGTAAAACAGGATTAACACGGTGCTCCGGGGAAGCACATTATATTTTAGAAGTGTTTTTTAAGTGGATGCTTAGAACTTAAATAACAGGACATTCAGAAAGAGTTCAAAGGCCTGATCATGTGCCTGGCCAATGCAGCTTTTCAACAACAAATCAGCTCATTAGATCACAAATAACAAAAGAACCAGTTTGAGCTTGGATTTGACAAATGGTTGAGCACTCATTTAATCCAGAGAGGCAGCAATTTCTATCATCACTATTGGTTTAGAACTGTAAGAACTTGCTTTCAGCTCAAACCATTCTGGTTTTGAACAATTTCTAGTTAATGCATGGACTTATTTTACTAAATTAACACATATTGACAGGTTTTAGTGAAACAACGTGGCGCTGAAGGCCAAAGTGTGTATTGCTATATCGATGCTGAATATTTCAATGGAGGTTGGATGCTGAAGTAATTCCATATTTTCTCTTAAAGAGAGGATGCTGGCTTTGAAGAACATCCTCCAAGAATTCTTCAAATGCAGTGTCTATATACTAAACTGGAAGATGCAAGGACAATCCAGTTGTGTAAAATGACTGGGCTCCAGTAAGTATGGGTGGCAATTGTTAGATTTTGCATGGTTATAAGGAACTAGTGACTTGGGAAGTTAATGCTTTTCACCAGAGTTTTCCCTCATCTCATGTCTAAGTCTTTAGTAGACTAATTTGATGGGAGGCCGATTGCTACGAGCAGACAACAACTCACTATTACTGTGTCGCTTCACTGCTGGATTGATGGATGGTGAACTATTTGAAACTTTGGCCCGACAATGATTCTTGTGCTCTTGTGTTTGGGATACTAGTAGCTTTCTTACACTGCAGCTCAACAGGGATCATTGACAGCTGTCTAGCATTGCTAGCAATTAAAAACAAAGCCATGAAACTCTCACTATGGTGCCACTAGAGCAAACATGCAGAAAGAGTGGAGTGGAGGAAAGGCTGGATTCACTTACTGACAGGAGAGTTTATTAATACCATTGATAACGAAACACTGTCCTCCATTCACACAGTAGTGCCGATCGCTATCGTTGCATGGCCTTGCGTGGCCTGACCAAGGCGTTGGTGAAGTGGTAGCTGCAGATGGCAAGAACAGCAACATGAGAGACATCGTTATTTCCCATCGTGACTAACTACAGCACATCAACAAGGTGTGAAGTTCAACAGTTTCAGGAGCAGTCCAATGTAACCAGCACAGAACCTAGTTTGTCACTGTAATTGTTAAAGTACCTTGGGAGAATGAGCAGCATCTGTAATTCAACATTCCATCGCACTGTTCAAATCCTTCAGTGACCTCACCCTTCCCTGTCTCGGTTATCTGCTGCTGTCCTGTGAGAACACTCCCTCAAATCATTCTTCTTATATAGACTTTTATTCTGTTTGCTCCACCATTTGTGGCTAATCCTTTTGCATCCCAAATTTACTTCCCTCAATGTTTCTATTCATCCATGTCTTTCTCCTCCTTTTAGATGCTATCTAAAACCTGAGCCTTGGATTTCGATCAGACTTTTTTTTTGGCCCTACTCCCTCCTCCTTTGATTCCAGGTTAGTGTTTATCTTGTTGGAATCTTCTGAAAGACATTGAGACGTTTTACTCAATTCAAAGGAATTGTATAACCATAAATTCTCTCTTTCCTTAGTTGCATCAAGGAATAGACTTTATTTTAAACACATTATTTCTATGCCTGTGACTTGCAGCTAGAGACATTTAGATAAGAATGAATGGGATAACTCAGCTCTTCTCCACCAATTAGTTCAGTCTACTGCCTGAATTCAAAATGTTTACATAAGATGTTGTGCCCTCTGCATTGTGGTGGGACACATATAGTGCCACAAAACCACCACATCATATATGGTAACAATCACATGGTTCAAACAATCAACAACACTAAACGCAGTCAGATTGGTGCGATGGGTGGTAAATATCACCAAGCCTAAGATGTAACCAGATCTGGTAATAATTTGTGTGCAGTTCTCCATCTACAGAAAGTAACAGCTGGGAAATTTTGCTCAGTTGGACTTCTACATCTCTCATTGATGTATCCACACTCTCCCCATGACATTTCAAACATGGAACAACGGATCATAAATTTACCTTTGCCTGAACAGCATTTTAAATGTTAAAAATTGCCCTACTTGGTCATAGGAAGCAAGAATAGAATCAGACATCTGCTGCATTGCAATAAGAGCAAATACACTATAGAGGCTGGAGATCAGAAATAAAAAGGGAAAGTATTGGAGAAATTCAGCTTCTCTGGTAGTAGAGTTCAACGTTTCAAGATTTCCCTCACTGTGCAAATAAGACAGCAGGTTTGTTTTCAGTACAAGTGACCTATTTTCTGCTATTAACACATTACCATTGACACCTTCTCGTCATCTACATCCCTTCCCTAGTAAAATATGTAAAGGCACCATAGTCCCAGTGGACAAACCTCTCATTACAGAGGGATAACTGGGGATGGTTTAACCTGAAGGTCACCACACCTTAAATGAGGGGTGAGATTGAGAACGGGGGATCTGCACAGTGACCTCAGCGGTGCAGGAACTAAATCTGCGTCACTCTGCACGGAAAACTGGCTGTTCAGCCAACTGAGCCCCTCTTCCCTACTAGCATTAACACACTCTTTTCCCTTGTCCTCCATCCTTTCTCAAAAGCATAAAACCCACTACTTTTCCAACTCCTTTCAGTTCCAAAAGAGTGTCATTGGACTCAAAATGTTAACTCTTTCTCTCTCCACAGGTGCCGCCAAACGTGCTCAGTTTCTCTGGCACTTTCTCTGTTTTTATTTTTTAACCTGTGTGCACCTGGGTCAAAACAGTTCTGCATTCAATTCTGAAGAGCACAGTGAGGAGGGCTCCGGTCCAATGGAGCTCTGATCGCACGTGAACATTTTAACGTAAACAGCAAGGCTTGATCATATGTTGTCACACAGTTCACTTTCAAATGCTCTAACCAGCTTTATGTTCACCAATAAAAAAATCTCTTTTGATTTAGCACCATCGGAAACAATTCATATGACTGAACACACGTTTTAATACCAGCTGGTACAAACTTAGTTTGGGATAAACTGATTAGCCAAAACAAAAGAGATGTTAGAATTGTGTCACAGGTAGGGTAAGTATCAGACATAAAAAGTACTTTTACGTGGGACTCTTGATTTTCCCATTTGATGTTGTCTGACTTGCTCAGAACTTCCTGCATAACCTTTGAATGGTAGATTTCTACGTTTTGTTTAAACACCAGTTATTTAGTTTGTTTGTGACTTCACACAGATTTAATTCAAAATAACTATGGTCACCGATTTTACATTCAGCATGGACAGAAGGAAAATTAGAACAAAAATAACCTCCTTCAACAGACTTTGAGATGCCACTCCATTGTTTGGTCACATAAAAATCAGTTGGTAATTTTAATCAGCTTAAGCATTCAATCTTGTCCCTCACTGCACTTTCTCAGCTCTCCCAAGCTCCCCATGCCTCTATGCTACAGATTCCCTTCATCTTCCTAATTGAACAGGCACCTCAGATGCTGAACTCTGGCAGTACTCTTCCTGTCAGTCACTGTTGCCTTGATAAGTGAGCTTCAAGACTGCATAAGTTATTAGCGCAAGCAAAGCAAACAAAACATCAACCTTCTGCATTGTGCTGGGAGGACATTAAGAGCTAGAATACTGTCTAAGATCTTTCTACCGAAGTTAAACGGGGGTCTATTCAGTTATCGGAACCTCCTGGTACCTCAAACGAGTAAAATATAATCTTGCACAAGTAACAAATGCCTTGAGTTTGTCTGATTGTTCCTTCATACGCTATTGCACAGAACTGAACACTTTCAGTGACTATGCATATATAAAGATATTTTCATGAATAAAGTATATTTTTGAAATAAAACAAATTAAGAGCAAGAAATTGTATTAAGGTAATATCATTGTCTTTCACAGACCCTTGTATACCACCCAGCATCCTGCACCATCAACCCTGCACCCACCCTCCCCTCCGACTCCTTGTGTTGTCTGCAGACACACTCATGTCCTGAACAGGTAACGTATAAGAGCTTCAGGACTGGCTCCAAATATTGACAACCTCAGCTCAACTCTCCATAAAGAATCTAGTCTTTGATCCACTGAAAATAAAAGCTTTCCACTTGAACAGCCTGCATTGAGAGGAGGGGGGGGGGGAAGAGAGAGAGAGAAAAAAAGAGAGAGAGAGAATGAGAACAAGAGCGACAGGGATAGACAGCGTGAGCGAGAGAGAGACAGAGATAGAGCGGGTGCGAGACAAGCTCACAGAAAATAGATGCTTACAGTGAAAGGCGTGCAGACTCCAGACTGTAGACTAACATGCAATATTCAACAGGGTCAATGCAAGAAGGATGTTTCTCCTGACTGGGAAGATCCCGCTAAGGGACACAGTTTCAAAATACAAACTAATTCATTTAGGACTGAGCTGAGAAGGAATTTCTTTGTTGTAGGGGTGAATTCTGTACTTTAGAAAGGCCGAGAGATTCAGCATGTTCAAGACTGAGATTGATAAATTGCTACCTTTTTTAAAAGCATCAAAGGATAGGAGAAAGCACAGGAAAATGAAAATAGTGCTGAGGTAGAAGATTGGATCTGTTTTAGTTGAATGATAGCAAAGATCCAATGGCCAGAATGGCCTCTTTCTGTTCCTACGCTCCTGAAAAATAGCATTCTAATGCCAGGTCAGAATTCCATATGGACTGCAGTGTTGTACAGGGACAACAGCATAAAGCAAAGTCTGTACAAAACCAACAAACGTTTATTAGTTTGACTTGGATTCCTTCATCAATACACTCCAAGAGTCAATTCCAAAACGTGATGAAATAATAAAATCTGTAATGTGAAATCCTTATCTTTTTTCTTCTTTGTCCAATCTGTACAAATATTGATTGTCAAACTCTTGGGAAAAGGAGGCCTAGCATTGTAAAAAGTTAATAATATTTCCAACATGGTCAAGGCTGGGAAAGTTATCAAGTCAACTTACCATAGTCTTACCAGACTATAGGGCTTCTCTCTCATTAGAGAGAGATGACTGGTAGTGATTTTAAACTAAGGGCCATCATACCTCAGGTGAAGGGTTGGTTGAGATGGAGAGTCCTTCATGGTATCCTCAGCCACTGATGGGAATTGAACCATGCTATTGGCATCATATTGCTTCACAAACCAGCCATCCAGCCAACTGAGCTAAAATGACCCCCGAGGAGTGGTATAGTCAGAGGGTCATAGAGGTTTACAGCTCAGGAAGAGACAAGTATCCCTTATGCCTTCACAACCATCATATCCACCCGCCCTGCTGCCTTAAAGATCTAATGACGTGCACACCAAGGTCACTTTCTAACATCCTACCATTCAAATGTACTCTCTTGCCTTGTTCGTCATCCCAAAATGCATCACCACACTTTACAGAATTAAATTCCATTTGCCATTGTTCAGTCCATCTGACCAGCCTGTCTATACCATCCTGTAGTCTAGGCTTTCCCCCCCAATTCATGATTTATCGCACCACCAATTTTCACATTCATCTGCAAACTTACTGATCAAACCTCCTACATTTATGTCTAGATGATGGGGAGAGGGTCAGGGTGCGAGAATCTGACAGCTGGAGCAGGGATGTCGGCTCCATTTCAGAAGCAGCCAAATGTTGCAGCAACAACTTGCATTCATGTAGCACCTTAGACAGTATGAAATGTCTCACGATGCCTCAGGATACGAAACATAATTTGGTGACACCACCGACGAGCAGCAGTCAGGTCACCACAACCAACTGTGTAACAACCTTTTATTAAAACACAGCAACTTGTGTTGCTAGTATTTAACAAGCTGCTGCTCAAATCTAAGACTAAACCCTGCAAGTTAATGGTTTGGCTTAAAATTGTAAATCATTCACTGTTGTATAAACAATTGGAAGGGACAGCCTTTCACGTCTTTTTAAATTAAAATACTAAAGCAACAGTAGATACGCAGCACAGCAAGATGGTACTTCTATTCTTTTCACCTCATGACCATGTTAACCTCTGAGAATCTCAGAACCTTTTAAAGAAATTAAAATCCATGATTGAA